CTCTCTCTCTCTCTCTCTCTCTCTCTCTCTCTCTCTCTCTCTCTCTCTCTCTCTCCATGACAGTAGCGCCTCTCTAGTCTCACCAAGCGGAAAAAAATGACGAACGATTGTTATGTCCCAACTCAGCACCTTTGAGGAGCTATTTGCCCAGGCCTGCAGTGTCTGCCTACCAAAAGAAAAGCCTAGAACGACCAGCCAGAAAGATCCTACCACTATGGTAAGCAAATACGGACTGTATGCACAGGTCCCAGGTTCAAAAGTCGTCCGCTTCAGAAAAGTAAAAAAAAAAAAAAAGGGWACTTCCGGTGTCTGGAAGACAAAAATAATAGAAACTTGAAGTACAGCAAATGATTGGGCGGGTTGCGGGTTTTAACCCTGCAATCCCCAACAATCCTCCTCCCCCCTCGGTTCGAGGTCCTCTGAAAACATTACAAGCTCCAACTGAAAAGGGGTTCTGCATTCACAGAGAAAACAAAACACAGAATCATAGGAAGTGTGAAAGGACACTGGAGTCCATGTACAACATGAAATCTGGAAATTGCAGGCTGCGGAATCAACTGCTGCGTTTACTCTCCTGAAGTTGGCTCTCGTACCGGGGAACTATCTGAGGTGCCGTCTGCATTAGCTCGGTGCCATCCATTCGCCGTCCTCCTCATTAGGCTAGTTCTTGAACTTGACCCTGTAGATGATGTTGAGTCTCCCTCTTCACTTTCGGACCAACCTTTGCTCCACAATTCTATCATTGCCTGCTCCTCCGTCCATGGCGGGAGGATGCATCTTCCTCCTGCCTGCTAGTTTTGTGCCCATGTAAGACATCTATTTGGATGCATGAAACACAGGATAAGTCTTCAGATGTGGAGGTATATCCATGAGGAAGAAGGGCTGTCTAGATCACTAACAACATGCATATCTCCCAAGGTCACAACATGCTCATGAAACACAGGATAAGTCTGCACATGAATGTCTATTTTCTACAGACACCTTCCACAGCGAACTTGTCCATGCTCACCCATGCTTATTGGCTCGAGCCCATAATCCTGATAGCTTGTCGTAGTTCTTCAGCAAACTGTGCGGTGAACTCCATTGTTCCAAGAGGGTGCCTGAGCGGCTGATTCAGGACCAGAAAGTCCACAAACATGCGAGGATTCCATCCGTGGTGCAACTCAGCACGTGTGTGGAGGGTTGCAGATGCACAGAATTGTTATAAACACCTGCTACTGGTAAAGTGTAAGTCTCAATCGACCTGATCAGGCTGTATCAGATGTTGCAGGACCAATAAACACCTGCTACTGGTCAAGTGAATGCCCCTGGCTGGGCAGGGCACTTTCCTTTTCTATGGGAAGTGCAGCCCTGTGTCTGGCTGCTTGCGCCTGGCTGGGCAAGTTTCCAGTAGCCTCCGGTCGGGCCCCTGTGTCTGCGCCCAGGCCCAGTTTCAGATCCTGGCCAGGACCTCATGCAGTTAGCACGTTCAAGCAGCTCCGCAGTCGTTTGGAGCGATCTCATTGGCTCGTAGCATGTGTGTGACGCTGGATCTGATTTCTCGTTGGCCCGCCGCCTCTCCCTGATGTGTCGACCTCTCAGTGCGTGTGCCCAGGGCTCAACCACCTGAGCCCTGGGCCCAACTGTATGGCGCAGCTGCTGCTTCTGGAACGAGCCAGAAGAGGCTCACGTTGCTTTGTAACCAACTGGCGTGCTGCAACTGTCTGATACCCGACATACGAGAAATGTCCAAAACAGGCCTCGCGTGGATATTCAGGCCCACCTTCAGGGTGGGCACGGGGCTTGCTGGGGGCCGCAGCCCAGAACACTTGCATTACGAGAAGGGCTCCGTGAGGGCTCCATCCTCGCATTAACACCAAGTGCTGCTATTTCCGTGGACTCGGGTGTACACGACGTGGAATAGATGTGGATCCCATTACAAGGCACCTTCATTATGGCTTTATGGGACCGGAAGGACAGCTTGTAAACGGTCATTATCAGGGTGCATTGTTTTAAGGGGTGGATGGTAGTCCATTGAATGCTCTTTTATGATTTTATCCTAAGTGAAAGCAGTTTTACTGTTTCAGTTTGCTGAACCGACCAAGTATGTGAGGTGGGATAGAACTGAATGCCAGTATATACGGTGAGGATGGTTTGGGTGCTAATCTAGGATTATGCCACATTGGGTGGATTCTGAAGTAAAGACCATTGTCTAAGTACCTTTCATCAAGTTCTGTAAGTTTTTTTTTTTTGTTTTGTTTTGTTTTGTTTT